AGTAATCTTAAGCGCCAGCTAGTTCGTAACCGCCTATATGACCGTCTATGTGCAACTCAAAATTGCATAATCTGCCCCAGTGGTAGAGACGGTGATTGCATGAGCTCGGGTATAGTTTATCTGATCTCCTGTAAGACGTGTGGTGACGAATACATTGGCGAAACGGGTAGACCCCTCTGTGTCCGCATGAAAGAACACCTAGCCGGCAAAAATAGACCAAATACCCCGCTAGGCACGCATAGGACCCAGAGACATAACGGGGACGACTTCGAAGTATGTGTCACGATCCTCGCACGCGAATCGGGAACACAGGCGCGAAAAACTCTCGAGGCACTCTGGATTAATTCCAGAAATCCGAAAATGAACCGCAGGGAAGAATGCCTCATTATCACGCGTGATATAGGGCAGTATATAAAACTGCTTTTCTGATGTGAGGGGCGCATTATACTTCCACGTGATTTCTGTGCGGTTGGTTTCTACGTGACATACTTAGTGGAAACCTCATAGAAAGCGGTGAGTGTGCAAAGCTGTGTTCAAAGTGATTGAAATCTTGGCTTGGAGTTTCTTTGTTTGGTTATGGAGGCGTCTGGCCGAGTGAGTTGCTATCAACTTGACCTTTCCAGGCTCTGAAGAAGGCGAAATTCGCCGAAACGTCAGCTTAATCGTGAACAAAGAATAGTAACACCTCTCGTTTGCTCAACAAAAATACGAAGAAAATCACTTGATCAATGCCGAGGTTAATAGAAAGTCGGTCGTGGCAGTTTCTGATGACTAATTCTCGTTTTATTATATTGGAGACGATACTAAGTTTGATGGACACGTTGAAGTATACGAGTTGAAGGTAGACTGGACAGTATGCATTGGTTTCAATACACTATTTCCGCTGGTTTTTTGTATTAACTTTTTCTATGCTACTATGGAATCGACACCCTTCCTATGACAGATCTTATAAGAAGCGTTTTTGAGGAATGATATTTGATCACCTTAAAAGTCTACAAAAACATTTGGGAGGAGTTTGTTCTTCTGAATGAGTCACGCAACGATTCTTTGACTTTTGTATCGTTAAAGTAGTGTAGATGTCGTTGTTGAAGATCGATGTTCTAAAGTATCTCCGCTCCAGATAGAGTAATATATGAGACTTCTTGGCGATTTCCTGCTTATTCTATAGGTGGAGTATTGGGATAGTAGGACTATTGCTAATGAATGGAAATAGTCCGTATTTCCTTTTGGATAAAATATGAGAACGATCTACTTTGGAAGAATTTCACACTACCAGTGACGAATGGAAATTTGTTAGCACACTTTTCGAGCCACGTGGTGATTAAGGGGTGGGGGCAGGTAAGCGTCGTATGGGTCAACACTTAGGATCCAACGTGAGCTGCTTTTCGCTCAATAACAATCGCTTTCAGCTTTAAACGGATATATCCCAGCTCAAATTGAACTTTACTAATTATGATGAAAATATAAAAATTGACAGATCTTTGCCTACAGGATGAAAGCTCCCTTGTTCTAACTTGATGAGATTCTGATTTGCTGAAGCTCAGTAGGCGTATTTTTACTCTTTTTCGTCGAAGCTCGTATTCATTAGAACATTACGGTTTCGCCAAATGCCTTTGCTGACGTTTATGGCTAGGAGAATTTCGTTTGGAATCTCAAAAATTCGGATTTTGTTTCCATCTTCTTTGGGAATTTTGATTCAAAACAACTTTAAAATCAAATAACATTTTCAGGAGACTGACTCCTACGTAGATAGAACGAACTCCTTTCTATAATATTTCAAAAACCGAGTTTCCTTAAGCGTAGGCGTGACCAATTAACATGCACTTTTTCTATTGATAAGCTAACTGAAGGTTGATAAAAGTCGAACACTTCTCTTCTCTTCTATAGGCTGATCACTTCCTAACTTTTCAAGTGTTCTGATTATCGAAAAATGATCAGTGGTTTCGGACCAGGCTCGCCATGCTTTCATTCTTTTGAGTTGGTAGCAGAGTTGACTGAGACGATAGGAGCACTGATTATCACAACAGAAGTCGTTCTATACGCCAGATATTTATTCAATCACCTCTAGAGTGCTTGATAAAGTCAATTGTATGCCACATCCCTAAGGGATTGATAAATACTGAATAATTTTTCCTCTGTTCTTTATTACACCGTCTCCTATTGCTCTTGAATAGCATGCTTGATTCTCCCGCTTACTTTCACTCGGTAATATTGTTGGCAACGTAATGGCTGGGTTGTACTCAGTAGTAGTAGTAGTAGTAGTAGATGTGAAAAGCTCCTGCATAGAACAAAGTTGGAGAGGAACAAAGTCACAGTTGAGTGCCAACTCCTTTTCTGCTGTTTTCTATTGTAAAAGTAAAAATAATAAAAAGAAAGAGAGATTACGACTGTTGTGTCATTAGGTGTTTGATGTCATGATATAGTCCGTTAGAAAACAGGCTGAAATCATGACACTGTTGCAGTTCCACTTCATGAACTGGGCATTACTGTTTGCAGGAAGTCTCTGTCGGACATTCTGTTTTCATTAGTTCCGGAACAGGAATGGGCTTCATGGGTTGGCGACTACATGGTGTCGGCGACGTTCGCCTGCTTCGTCGTACTGCTCGGCGTGCATCAGTCACGAGCCATCATCGCTCGCCGATTCATGTTCATCGCCGGCACCCTGTATGCCTTTCGTGCTGTCACACTACTCATCACACAACTGCCTCCAGGTTCTTCTATACGGAAATTTTTTGTGAATTGAAAAATCGAGTAGTCGAAAGGTCAAAAACCGAAAATCCGATATGAAATGAAATGAAATTTTTTAGTAGAAGTGTGAAGATTCTCTTCCAAATTAAGACCTGTAACTTTCTATTTACTGCCCACTATTTTTTCACGGCTGAGTATTATGTGGCATAATGGGCGGTAAATAAAAAGTTTTGCATTCCGATTTCGACTACAGCCTCGGTTTACCTGGTTTCAATGCCAATTTATACTCCCCAGATCGTTCCTGTTGACGGGTGATTGCTGAAAGCATCGTTAAGGTAAAAAGCTGGCTGAGAGAAAGGCATAGAGAGGACCGCCGCGGTGCAGTGAGTAACAAGTGAACCGCGGGAAAGAACAATTTCTGGTTCTAATCTGGTTTTGGGTCTGAGTTTTGCAAATATCTCAGCATCATTGCGGTTGTGTTTGAAATTGTTCTCATGGCAATTGTATAGTCAAAAAGCAAAACGAAAAATTGTTGAAGTCGTACTCTGCCGTGAAGAAAGCATAGGCAATAAATAAAGGTTAGGAGATTAAAGATTGATTTCGACTGTAGCTTCAGCTTCACTAGCTCCAAAGTCTACTTGTGATCTCCGGATCATTTCCTTTGTTGGGTGGTTGCTGATAACACCGTTAGGGTAAAAAAACTAGCTGAGAGAAAGGTAAAGCACGGGCATCGGCTGGCTGTTGTGGATAGCACGTGAGCCCTCGTAGCGGTAATCAATCGTTCGAAGCCCATCTGAGGTTCCGAGTTTTTGCGCCATACCTCAGCGTTCTCCTGGTTCTAAAAAGTGCGAGTTTAATATGAAAAAGAACATGAGCTAGTGATGAATGATTTAGCAAATGGATAGATTCTCTTCTAAAACGTTTTGTTATTGAAAGATTTTTTTGGCGCCTTTATTGGCTAAAAATTTTGTTGAGTTGGAAAGATTTCATTTCCATAGCTATCAAGAACACTGAGGGCTACATTTGCTTTTCTTGGTCTCTGTGTTGATTACTGCGAAAAAAAGTCGAGATTAAAGTAATGTAATGATTTGGATTTGTACTGTTTGTTGTGGTTGGTTACAAATCTCGTCCTTTTGTTGATGGTTGCGAATTTAATTCAGCTGTCTACGCCTAATATATCAATTTTAATGATTTCGTCTATGTTCATTGATAGAAATACCTACGAGCATAACTATACTTTAGGGGAAATAATTTTGGGTTAAGAAATTTTTCCCGGGTAAAATAAGTTCCACTAGTGTTCTTCTTTCTTATGCTAACTGCGAAGGCATAAGTGTTTAACAACTCTCAATATTGGCTTTTGGAGAATTTTATGAGTGTTTACGAACCGAAATAAAAACGTGACATGTAATTGATGTTGGGCAATTAGATGGATTTTTTGAAGGGGCGGGGAAGTTTTTTTCCCATTTTGGCGCGCAATCAACGATGGCGTGGCATCTGAGTGGCGGTCCAACGCAGAGAAGAAAAGAAATTGAGCATTTAACTCTTCTGAAGGGTTTCGATATCAAAGAGACTTGATGTTGTAATGTATTTTCGGCTAGGCCATAAACTCGTCCTATAGCTCGTAAAACGTAACAAGCATTTCCTGATATGGGTTGCATTGGAAAGAAATATTACCGGGGTTTATTTTAAATCAACTGAATATCTGCGTATAAAATCTATGCACTTCTCACAATTCACGGAAGTCAGCCTTTGCCACAGTACTACTTGGAAGTCCTTAGCGTTCTGTTTCTGTGATTTTAGTATTTGTAAGGATTGAAAACTGATTTATGAAAATTCATGGTAATTATTTTAGGCTACGAAAATAACAATCTTCGATGTCGAGAACAAGTAAATCTCACATTCAACTTGTTCATTTCCAGAGTTTTCGAGCAAGGAATACGGGCTGGATTTCAGGTAAACGAGATCCTGTGTTAAAATATGCCTTTCTTTTCTTTATGAGATTTCGGAATGTTCCAGGTAGATTTGAACCATGTACAAAAGCTAGAAAAGCTTAGTAACATTTAAACACCGTAAATTTGACAGAAGTTTTACACCTTATGGTAAAGGAGGCAAAAGGAAGTGGCGAAAACAGAATTCGGAGTGAAATACGTAGAGGCGTAGATAACCCGTTTCCTGAAGGCTCCAGCACTTTTTTCCTTTCTCGTTCGTTTTGCTGTCATGCAACTGTCGTCCATAGAGATTGAAAGATTTTGGTATGGATTAGACCTAACTTGAGGGCCTCTTATTTTCCCTCTTTAATCAGATGTTAAATGCTGATCGAATGTAGTTTTCTTTCGAACTCTCAGGCGGTAGTGTTAGAGTGTTTTCAGGTGTTAAGCAAGGAGAGTGGCCGGATATTATGGAGTAGGGGGGGGGGGGTATTCCTGCATTGCGACTCGCACTCCTCTCGGAAGCGATCGACTACTGATACGTTGCACTAGTTATTGATTACGAACCTTATGATCCACACGCTGACGACGGTCTAAAAAGCCGAATCCTGGAGGAAAATTGGTGCTACAAGGGTTGAAGATGTAATACTATGCTTTAGAATAAAACCCAATGCGTTTAATCGTTGAAACGTGGGCCTGGCAACGACTTTTGGACAATGGCATGCTTCGTTTTCGTCTTAACACCTCATACTGTGTAAAAAGAAAAGGAAAAAAAAGAAAAATAACCTAAAAGAGTATATGGAAGGCACTTAAAAGGAATACATTCATTTTGGAATTCTTTCTAGTAACGTTTGAAAACGAATGCTGCTGCCTGAGCAATAGTTGAATTCTTCATAAGAGGTTTTGCATACTTAATCCTTGTGCTGTTCGATTGCCCACTGTCCTTATTGGTGTTGACAATGAATGTTAAGTCCCCGATGTGATGTTTGCTCTGCTCTTTAACATCAATGTTTATTGATGTGTTGAATAAATAGCAATTTCCGTTCTTCAGGAGGGATTTAATGCTCAGTTTTCCGGGTTTGTTATAGATTCTTGGGACGAATAGTATTGAACAAATACTAACGGTATTATTTAGAAGTAGATGTATCGAACGTTTTATCAGTGCTCTGTTAATGACACATTACAATATTGATTTCCTTTGCGAATTGTTCTCCGTAGTCAGTCATTGCAAAGTAGATTAAGAGATCGATTACTTCGACGAACTCAATAGCGATCGATCATTAAAGTCTAGTATTTCAGGAGAAGACAAACATGTTGTGTGGCGACATGTTGTTTTCTGGGCATACGCTTGGAATGGTGAGTTATTATAGTTAACGATCTAGAGAGAAAAAAATTTCTCAAGAGACGAATTATAGCGTAGATCCATTTACAAAACGATGAAAGGATAAAGCGTTCGGCGTTGATCAGTTCTTCAGGGCAGAGGAATGGAGGGCTTCGTCAGTCTGCATGGAACCACTGACAATTTATGTATTGTTAGGAACTTGCAACTACTGAGCTACTCGCGCCCAGATTCTCCTGCATAACCTGTAATGCATGAAATCAGTCAACGTGAGCAAACAAGAATAAAGCCTCTATTTGTTCGCGTTGGACATTAAACATGTTCGTTGCGCCTCATTCACTGCATAGAGAGTATGGATATCGTTGTTTTGGTTAATAAACTTCTTCCTGAAATTTTTGGTGACAGGGTACCCAAAGTTAACTCTCTACGTTCAGTCATAGGTATATGGATATACCCACGATAGGCACTACTGTTTCGGAAGACATGAAGTCATCATACCTTCGATATTAGTCGCTTTATATCTGCGGTATCGATTTAATTTTGGTTGGGCATCGGGATGGAAATGTTGAACTCTTCTCATTCTGGGTGACTCTGCTGAAGCGGTAGTCTTTTCACGCTCAGAATTTGACATTCAGGATTACGTTGCAGCCATGAGTAGGCACTAATGCATAAAAGAGGTGGTGTTAAGAACCTAAAAAAGGATAAAGCTTGCAGCGTTGATCAATCCCTGAGGTATGCGCCACGCATTGGACTTCATTAAGAATCGTTAGAGGTGATCGAATGCATATCTGTCCTTTACAATGACTAACGGTGGCCTACCTATGTATCCGGCCAATACTGCTATCCTCCGATGTGGTTCTGGTACCAATTTGCCCACTCCGGAGGGATAAAAGGGTTAGTGAGCTTTGGGAGCTGGGATTGATCCGATGTGTTCTGTGCGGTGCCTCCGACCTCTGCGCTGCAAGCACCGATTAGAGCTTAGACTGCTCTTATTAATGAATCTCGATGGAGGAGGTATTGTTTCAATGTATAATGCTGTCATAACTTCAAATATCTTCGTAAGTCTATGAACAGCCAAACACATAGTTTTCCATTTTTTTCCATCCATAGTAAGCTCATCAAAGAAAGAATACACATAGTTTTCCTTTTTCTAGGTTCCTCTGTCTTTCTCCTTCAAGGGCTCTTTCTTTCTTTATTCCATTACTTTCGTTCCTTCTTTCTGAGAAATTTTTAGTTTAGGTGGTGAGATGCAAAGGCCTTTGGCAAAAAATCAGAAAGACGATATTGTAGGTGACGAGCGCTCTGTCCATAGCGTACTATCTGCCTCATAAATGGCGGTTCTTGCAATGGATTCCGCACTTACTGGCTCTCATTGGAATGGTGTGCATGATCATCTCCCGAACACACTACACCATTGATATCTTCATCGGTTACTGGTTGTCCAATTTTATTTTCCGGTTAGTTAGAAGAATTATTTTCGGTTTGTCTTTCGCCATTTTTATTTTGTAATACCTATTAGCTCTGTTAGTTCAAGACTTGGGTCTGGCTCTTATTCATTCACAATATTCATTTGATTGAAATCTTAGAAAACTGTGACCCAGAATTTAGCGGGAACTATTCAAATCCATGAACTATTGCATGGAAATTTATCTCACTCCACTTGAACACTGAAATAAAATCTTTGGCCGGATTGGAGCTGCTCTTAAGTATAAATGAATAGAAATCAAGTAAACCAACCAAGCGGCTTCTAGGAATGTGAAGTGGTCAACAGCATCAACGAATAATACGTTAGACTCGTTCAACACTTCCATAAAAGTACTAGGAAATCCGAGAGCTTGAAAATCATTTAGAGATGAGTGTCTCGGAAAGTTATGTTGTGCAAGCGTGAAGCTCTACCAGTAATGGGAAATGAATAACTTACTTCCAAGATTATAAAACTCTGTAATGGTAATAATGGTAAAAGAAAGGTCGTAAGGGGAGAGCAGTAGTCGAATTTCCTGGTGCTATGGAGACGAAAAATCATCTGTAATGCCATGCCAATTAGTCAGTTAAGTCTAAGATGTTCGCACACATTTGTGCAACAAATTGGATGCAACAGAGGAGGTGAAGAATGTCTTCTACGAACTATGCTTAGATCTATTAAGCGAAGTCTATCTGCTTTCACTTCATGTCGAAAAGAAGAATTGATATGGTTCGGGATTGGTTCTATAGCTTTGCCCTCAGAAGTCTGAGCACTCCTCAAGAATTCAATTACCTGGTTTTTTATTTTCTCTACCGAAAAGAAAGCGACCTGAGCTGTCGAAATTCAACTCTTTCCTTCCATAAGTAAACCATAGCTTCCTAATATTGTACTATTCCACATTTTATTTGTTGTTTTTCGTTATAAAGTCTTCACTCAAGTTATCTTTAGCTGAGTCGAAAGAACGCTGAATAGAAGAAGGTTAACAGGCTGCATTATTATAAATCATGTTGACAAAGTCATGGTTTTTCAAGTGTGATAAGAGCGCGTGATGAGGCTAAGCCTATCCTCTAAGGCAGAAAATTGCTAGTTAACAATGACGGTCTACATGCGAACCAAAACGGTAATATTGGGAACTTGATTCGCTTCCGATGATCGATAGACTTGATGGGGTGACCATTTTTGAATGCTTAAATTGTGTTTACGCTGAAAATTTAGTATAATAAACCTTTACGGTTGTGTAGAAAGAAGTGAATAGCTTGAGGAAGTAACATGATCACGGAAGAAGGTGAAGATGATCGACTCCGCACCCACTTATTCGACTCTACTGCTCTTCCTGCCTTAGCCTATGCCTCAAACACTAGGACGGTGTGTAAGCCGAACGAAAGTGAGGTTAACGTTAGCAAAAACGTTACTGAGAATTTGCTGATAATTTCGTTTTACCTCGGTAGGAGAAACAAGGAGAAAGAATTGGCCGTTCCTGCTTGCCGCCATAACACTCATTGACCGAATATGACGCAACACCACATGATATCGAGCGCACATCGGAAAAAAACAACAATCGAATAGAGGAATTTCTTCACGAAGACAAAGAAATGTATGAAGGTCTTCATGCCCTTTAACCGAGTAGAGCTCTTAAACGATGGACTCACTTCGCCCCTGTTCGAATCACTTAATAGTCTACACGAGGAGAAAGTGCGTGAAGGGTACTCGCTTAAAACAATAACTGCTTCTTAACCATTTTTTATTTACTGCCTACTATAATTTTTAACGGCAGGGTATCATGTGAAATACAACTAAGATAATGTTGAGATATTGGCAAAACTCCGGACCGCAGGTGTGTGCGGTGGGGAACGAACGCGCTATTGTCCTTTCCGGGGAGTAACGGAAACAGATTAGCGTGTTCGTTCCCCACCGCAGACACCTGCTGTCCGGAGTTTTGCCAATATTTCATCATTATCTTAATAACTGCTTCTATTCAAAAATCTGGCTAAAAACGCGAAATTCACATGCAAAGTAACCCAAAAAGAAACAACAAGAATATTGGACGACCTGTGAATGAATGAACTTATGGCTGGCTTATGAACTAGTTTTCTAGTTGAACTAGTTGAATGACTTGTGAACTAGTTTTCTGAAACGAAAGGAAAAACAGGAAGAGTAGAGGAATTTTACGAATGGTGTAATCTGTCAGTCTTCATTTGTTACTTCGTAATAGTTGTTCTTACAGATAGTTTTCTCTTTAACTTTTAACTAATATTTTCCCATGCTATTATACTAGTAAAAACCGGAAGGAAAAAAGGTCCAGTGCTTTACGGTGGTTGATTGCCGCATGGCAGGGAGTAGGGGTGGACGAGCTGCACAGCAAAAGCTCACGTATCATAGGATCAATGTCCCCTCTAACCCTCGAATATATCGTGAAATTCCTCATTGCCTTCACTGATAAGATGCAGTTCGTAGACCTTAAATGTTCCCCATAAATGTTCTTTTGTAGTAGTTTTCCGGTTTTTATGTGATACTAAGGGAGGAAATAAAAGGTTGCAAGCAGGTGTTTAGTTTTTCTAACACTTTTCTTATTTGGGTCCTAACATAACTGAATTGAGATCTAATCACATGACACAAACTTATGGTGTTAATTAAACATGCCGAAAAAGTAAATGAATATTTGCATAGGGTCTATCATGCGTTCTGCGAAGTCGATATATTCATGGAACGACGAAAATCTGTGCTTTATGGCTTATGGATGTTATGGGTCGTTGAATGGTTGGAAGATGACATAGTTCCTGGAAAGTGAGTGCTTTGCTCCTATTGTTATTATTGTGTAGTTAACGCACATAATAAAAGTTCTTCCATCCTGGGACCACTAAACTCCTGTCACTGCAGGTTCGGGTGATTGGTGCCCGACTTGTCTGAGATCATCTCGCTTCGTTCAATCCACAAAGGGTGACGATTTCTTGTGGTGAGAATATGGGAACGTTCTAGTATGATTGTGCAAGTATCCCGAAAAGGAATTGACTCGACAAACATTCAACGACTTTCATAAATAGTCTCAAAAATCCTTAAGACGCAACCATTTCTAACGTGTGGAAATCCTAATACGTGAATGGTGGATGCAAGAAAACGGGATGAATTCAAGAAATGCGAGAATAGCACAATATTTAATGTCGGGTCGTGTACAAAAATACAATAAGAGTTTTAAAAAATTGTCTTTTTTCTGTGTAAACGAACGTGGATGAGGATATGCTAACTGATAAGTCAGTGATTTGGTATTCGTAGAGGAGTTTTGGAAAAATGCTTTTCTACGGATTCTACCATGGATTGGCGGAGCGCAGAGGTTCGAGGTGCCCTACATTGCATACATAGTCGTTGATCGATCCCGCACCACAGTACGTCACAAAGCTCTCCGTTTCTTCGCGGTCGGGAAATTGCTATACGACTTGTCTAGGAGGATAGCAGCACTGACTTAATAGATCGATCGTCCACTGAAAGGCAGTGTACAGGTTCGATATGGATTCAGTCACCTCAAACGATTCTCGATGAAGTCAAGTGGTGCAAGACATATTCTTCAGAGATTGGTCAACACCGGGGACTTTATCCTTTATCCTTTTTTATGGGTTAAACATCAGAAAAAATAATTAGCTCTTTAACTCCAAGCAAATGCAGATCAAAACTCTTAGCAACTTTGTTGACTTTTCATTTACTGTCTATTATAATTTTTCATGGCAGGGTATTAAGTGTTAATCAACCACAATGATGCTGAGATATTTGCAAAACTCCGGACCACAGGTGTCTGTGGTGGAGAACGAACGCGCTATTACCCTTTCCGGGGGCTAACGCGTTCACCAGTACACCGTGCGGGTCCTTCGTTTCGGCTGTCTCTCAACTAGTTCCGTCTGTAGCTCTATATCTTAGCAACTTTGTTATTTGAAGCAAAAATATCGAGATTAATCTTTGCTAATAAGGTTAAAGTCTTTTAATCCTACCTTGATGAAATGCTGATTATCCGAAGCCTACAGATCGTTCACTTTTCGCTTATTGTGATCACATCTCTTATGTCGAGTAGTAAAGCGATTGAACAAGAGGGATTTCCTTTAGAAAGTAATGATGTTGCATACATCGTCGTTTCCAAAGCTTGCACTCTGTTTCTTGTGTTGAAAGTTTTGAAATGTGTTTTTGCCTTGGAAGTTCTTGAATTTTCATTTCTGAGTAAATCTGTAAAAAAAATAATATTTCAGGAAAACCATAAATACTTTTAGAGCTACGGGGTCACGTCTTTTATAGATAGCTTTTTAAATCATTCTCAGCTTCTCAAGTGCTTCAATTATTTGACAAGAAGTTGTCAGTGGTCGAAGAAGCCCGCGCCATGTTATGCCTTGATTGTACTAAATGTAATCTTAGTCTTTTTATACTAGTTGTTAAACTGATATCTGAGGCTTCAGATGTCTGGAAGATCAAGAATAATCTAGTAAGGTTGTTATTCTTATATATGACTAATTTCAGAGTCGAGAATAAATTCGAACTCCCACTAGACGGCTTTTTACGTTTTTTTTTGGGCAGTCAAGCCGTCAAACACCACAAACAAATCTCCATTGTAAGTAGTCGTTTCGCTTAGTTCATTTTGTAGATGAAATCAGCTTTTGGATGAAGCTCTTGGCATTGATCAGTCCCTGAGGGATGCACCATGAATTCGACTTCATTGAGCTTCGTATGGAGGTGATTGAATGCATATCTGGCCTTTACAATGACTCGTGGTGGCCTACCGATGTATCGAGCCAGTGCTGCTATCCTCTCAGACAAATCTAGTACCAATTTTCCAACCCCGGAGAGATGGAAGGCTTGGTGGGCCATGGGCGTGGGAATCGATTCCACGTATGTGTTTCAAGGTGCCTCCGACCACTGCGTCATGTGCTCCCTTTGAGGAACATAAGTTTTGCAAAAACGTACCATTGGGTACGTGCGGATTACGAAAATTTAACGGAGAGGATTTCAAGAATAGGGTTCTTATGGATGGGTCAGAAATATCAGTGCTCGAAACCCTTGAGGTGGCTTTTGTGTCAATTCTAAAAATCCTGAGAAGTGGGTGTGGTACAGTGGTTAGAGGTGACCTGCAATACACACGCAGTCTTTAATTCGATACTAAGCTTTAGGTTCTCAAGCCTTCCATTCTTCCTGGGTTGGAAAATTGATACCAAACTTGCCTATGAGGATAGCAAGACAGACTCCATATATCGCTGGGCGACCGCGAGTCATTGTATACGTCAGATATGCACTCAATCACTTCTATTGGTGCTTAAAGAGTCGAAAATGTGGCAGGCCCTTCAGTGATTGATCAACGCCGGGAGCTTTTTTATTTATTAAATGAAAATCTCTAATAAACTTTTTGGTCACTTTCGAAGATAACTTGGTGCCGTTTTTTAGAATGGTTCTTCATACAATTTCATATCATTTACGGAACATATTATAGAGTTCGGCTTCTACGTTCAATCTTCCCTAACGTCACCGTTAACACCATGTGTCTTTAACGAGAATATGGTGGTTTCCAAACGCATAGTGGAGGTCATTATCTTACGAGTATTCATCGAGGTCTCATTACATCATCATCTACGTCGTCCTACATCCTAATACTTAGTGAAACCCATTTCGTACTGTAGTTAGTGACTTTGCCATTGAGAATCTTCTACCACTATTAATTGCATTATTTCAGTGCTCATTTTTACGTTGTTTTTGGTGTTTTTAACGTTTTCGGTTAGACCGTTGTTATGTTTTATATGCTATTGAGGTTTATCAACGGTTGGTACACAGATAATAGGTATCGATCGCTTCGCGATATTAATCGATAGATTGGTTGCAGTGCAGTTGCTCTCATCATAACTTACAGTTAACTTTGAAAGCATAACAGTAGTTATGTCTTGCCATTTTATGTCAGCAGTTTTCTACTTTCCATCTTGAAGCTTCCAAGTGTTTCTTGTTGAAAAGTGTATCCCTTACTTAGAGATTCTGGGTGATCGTTGACTCTGTACCATATCAGGCAGTGAAATTGTGATACATCTAAGTACGAGTGCTGATTTGTTTTGAATAAATGATATTTTTACGGCTTCATTTTTTTATGATCCGATGTGTTCATGTAAACGCGCCCAGCGTTGATCAATTCCCCTCTAGTTAGGGTCGTTGCTGATTTCTCGATAGCCCGAAAACTTGAGGACTCGGAAATATGACCTGCTCATAGAAGAGAACGCCATCTATTTAAGTGCACGTATGCTTTTTCACCACTCTTATTATTAAAGTTGAGCAGCATTTATACCCCAAAGATGAGGGAACGATGCTTAGATTTTCAAAATTTTGAAGGACATCCCTCGCAATGGTTTACCGCCTCATCGTGGCTGGGAGGTATTTCAGGTGCCGGGGTGCGATGTACGGGCAGGGAATTCGTTTCCTGGTAGGGTCTTCCAGGCTGGGAAGGAGTCAAGCGTTGCCATTAGGAAGCCCAGCTAAGTGTGAACCAATACCGGAATCCGTCACCGTCCTGGTGCCAACTAGTCGCATGTTGGCAAATCCCTCTCTTATCCACAAAGGCGGAGACTGCCTGTGTTGGTAACGACCTGAGACAGACATAGCCATGGCTGACCTCGGGACTCCAAGGAGGTACAGTGGCTAAGCCAGAGAAAATCCGTGGAAAAAGTAGAGATTATGCGGGGACAAACAGGGCCATCGAAGTATCCAATAAGTAAGGGGTGTCCCTGCAGGCATGAACATCGTCGTGTTCTAGTACATGAAATACTGCTTGTTCAACGAATTTCGTTTTTGAAACATGATCTTCGACGAAAAAAATCTCACAAAATATGTATTATGAGTTCCAGGAAAAAAAAGGAAGATGTGAACTTCATCGAGATGAGACAGAGGTTTTATCTGTTGGGTAGAGATAGTAGACTCTAGTGCTCTTAATTGAAACTAATAACGCTAAATCTGAGTTTAGATATGTTGCTTTAATTCCGAAGGTATCCGTTATTTACGCAACGTAAGAATGGAAATCAACCCATGTCTATATGTTAAGAATCTGCTGGGAGCTGTACCAAATAACGTTTGAGATGCACTTCATTGACTGGATATGATGCGAAAATGGTGGCCTCGGTTAACTTCAACTCATCATTTTCAGGCTCCTATTGGGTTTGGGCTTCAATAGTTGGAGCACAAACTTTTAGAACATGCAGATCTTTATTTTGGAGAGACAAGTTACACTGCTCGGTTAGGATAAAACCGTTGCTCTCTGTAGCCCAAGATCATGAAGTTCCGCCACTTTAAGGCGTGATAGCTCGTATTTCGAGCACGAAAGCAGTTCAAGAAGCGGGATTTCATTCATCAGGACTCGATGAACTTTTCCAATATACCGTCGATGTTTGCAGAGATACTTCATGACTGGATTAGTCCAAAAATTTCTTCAGTTGCTCCCTATTTTAGTGTAATTCTGCCCGAATTCTTTTCTATCATTGCTTTCTCACTCATTCATTGTTTTAACTGCAGCCGTTTATGAACAGAATCCCAAGCACCTTCAAATAATGTTTTGGAGAAGCTATATCGCCAACCAGAAGAATTCCAGCCCTTTTAAGCACTTCAATACTTTCAAACCAATAGTCTTACTAGGCGTAGCGTGCAGTGATTAAGGATATTCTGCGATGTACACGCTACCTCGATCGCCCGTCCAAAACTGACCATAATGTTATACCCTTTTATTTTCTGCCTACTATAATTTCTTTTCCTTTGTAGTAATTGTAGTAATTTTGTAATTCCTCGCCAGTT